ACTGGCCTAGGGGGTATTTTAATTGGTTTTAACAAAATTTTAATAGAGCGGCCAATTCAAATATTTATTCTTAATTATTTTAGATTTGTATTTGGTATTTATGTGGGATTGTTTTAAACTGGCTGTAAGCCGCCCTGAGTCCTCCGGGAGAAGGGCGGGGTATAAATGAAATAAATAAATAAATAAATAAATAAATAAATAAATAATAACAATGAATCAAATGGCTAGAGGAAAATAGTTGTAGCTCTGGGTTGAAATGAAGGTTTCTTGGTGCTCTCTGAGTCTGTTTGTTTTCTTGCAGATGTTTCATTACCCAAATTTGGTAACATCATCAGTACACTGTGCACTGATGATGTTACCAGTTTTGGTAATGAAACATCTGCAAGAAAACAAACAAGTTCAGGGAGTACCAAGGACCTCTGGTGGATCACAGCTAGCATTTTGAATGCCCATGTCAGCTGCATATATTTCTGTAAAAAAAAATTGAACTGAAGACTAAGAATAAAAATATACAAAGTACCATTTCATTTGATGTCATCTAACTGGAATATTAATACCATAGTCTCTATCATTAAAGTACTCACTCCTTTCGTTAAAAAAAAGACTACCTTTGACATATCTCATCTATCAAACTTGTTCCAACCCTTACCTTTGCATATAGGTGGTGGTTGACTCCATTGCCTGTTTGCCTGACACTGGGCTTTTGTTGGTCCTTGCATAACATAGCCAGTATTACAAGAGAATGTCACAACATCATTGAAATTGAAACCATTCCCACTTGTTCGTCCATAAATTGGACTTCCTGGATGACCGCAACTGACGGCTAATATCAGAAGAAGCAAGAGAGAAGTAATATTGTTATAATTAGATTACATGGCTAACAATATGTCTCTTCCTTTGTGAGATATTTTGGAGACTACACAGATAATCCTGCACAGAAAGGAGAAAGTGTTACATGAAAAAACAATGGTGTTGTCAGTGTCCATACCTAAATCTTTATTACTTCCAATCCATTAATGTCCTAACTTGTAAGTGTACCCTATATTTTAGAATGCTTAATACTGATGGTAGACAAGCAAGGACTGACAGGAGAAAGAGGATAACAAAATATTTTGTTGCAGATTCTATTTTTTTATAAATTAAGTTTGTTTTCTCCATACTGATTTGCAGAATAGTAAATAGTAAATTAATATCTTTATATTTTCTTTACAGTCAAGAAAGACTCAGAATAACTAGTACATTTAAATTAATCATATCCTTAAAGTCAGTTTAGAGATATACCTACTAATGCTGCATGTTAGAAAATATCCTGGAAAAGAAAGGTTAGGTTTTCTAATATTTTCATTCACAACTTATGTTGGCTTTGTATGTCTTAAATCCCATAAGTGTTTAATGAATCTAAGGATAGGTTGAAGAAAAAAACTCTTGTGAGAACCTGATATAAATGCTTCAATATTATTGAAGCTTTCACGTGTTTATTATCTTCTTGACATGAACATCAAATTCTAATGGCTACATCATTGTGACTACAACAGTATTTATTTTTCAGGAAACATGTACTGAATTGCATGGTACAAGAAGATTTTCACCCAGTATTCTATACTAAATTATAGCAATATATAATATGGTATTTTAATATGATTTGCATTATAACATTTACATATTAATAAATAAAACATGTAAAATAATATACTGTACAATTCTAAATTAAGAATTAATTTTTTGGCTTTCAGTGTAGCACTGCTTTTTCCAAGATACCGTAGACAGATACAAATGTGCTACAACCACTGGTGGGATTCAGCCGGTTCGCACCACTTCGGCAGAACCGGTAGCTAATTTTTTGTTGCCCAGGCAATGGACTTCCCGAACAGGCATCCACACAGAGAACCAGTTGTTCACATATTTGAATCCCACCACTGGCTACAGCCCTATCTCTGGCTATTAATTTTTGGCTCTATTGATTTATTGTGTGCCATCAAGCCGATGTCCACTCTTAGCAACCTAATAGTAAGATTTTCTCCAGGAGAATCTGTGTCCATACTGGTCCTTCCTGGACACTATAGTCCCAATTTAGAATCCTAACTGTTGGCTCTTCTTCCAACTTTATTCCTTTCATCATCTTAGAAAAACCAGATGTCATAAGGCACATGTTAACCTCTGTGGTGTTACTTACGCACACAGGATGGAAGCTGACCAGACCAGTTGTGATCTTGCTGGCATATCCGTACAGAAGAACCAATGAGCCGAAAACCAGGATTGCACTGATATACAACAGTATCTCTATATCCATAATTTTCACCAATCACCTGGCCATTAACAATAAGATCTGGAATTCCACAATGACCCGCTAAAATAAAGCACAAAAATTGATGCAACATTAGTTAAAAATGGGGGCACCATTCTTCTTCTTCTACCAATAGGATTAATATTATTCTTTTGTATCTGCTTTTGGATAATATAGTTATATTTCACCTTTTCTCCCATGCAGTTCATGTCTTCATTGAATAAATATTTTGAGAGTTAAAATAATGAAATGGTTGAACTGTTAGATTTTAATGTTACTGAGCAACCTTAACTAAACAGTTTCATTTGTTAATCTAGTCTCAAAATGGTGTTTGCAAAAAATGGGCAACTCCCATGTAAATTGAGAAATTGTTTTCCCCTTGAAATGAGCTTTCAGGAAGAAAGGAGGGAAGGAAGAAGGAAGGAATTGCAAGTCATAAGAATTAATGAAAGGATTTGTCTTTTATTTCATCTGAAATAATTTTCAAAAAGTTATCATTAAGATGTTCACTATCAATTACAATTAGCTACCAAAATTGCCTTCCAAGTGTATTTTTGTCAGGGTGAGAGGACCGGGAGTGGGGGAGATATAGAAAAGTTGTGATCCCAAATTAGATCTCAACATGTTGTGGTTCAGATATGTTGACTTTCTAAGAGCCTATACTTTCTACTACTTAATATTTTGATCTTGCAGTTATGGCTACATTAAATTAACACACAAACTTGTCTCTTAATAGTACCTTGATGATGATATGGTGGTTAACATAGCATAACTGAAATTCAACAATTTTGCCACCAAATACTTGCAATTTCTTTTGTTGTTGCTCTGTAATGATACTGCCCATATTGCTTTAAATTGCTATGATACTATTTTTTTCTACATTACAGATTCTGATATTTCTCTAGGAAAGGCCTATTCAGTTTGTAGTCCCATGGCTGCACATGTTCCCTAAAAGACTTGGTTATAGCATGTGAAATTTCTCCAAAAGAAGTTACTGGATTATATTTTCCAATGTGAGGACAACTTCAAATATATGGAGAATAATCCTATTTACCATTTTAAATTAATTTCAATTAATCTGACCTTGTTCTCTTTTTTTTTCAGACTACTGATGCTGACAAAATAAACTCATCTAATACAATTCCACATATTTTCTTTGGATATTCTTCCTTAGTTGTGGTTCCAATGGCTAATGATAATGATGGTGATGATTAAAACCAGCAAGCAAATAACACAAACCTAATTTAATATAGAAGTTCTCTTATCAATATGGGTCCTGTATTTTACTCTTTGCCCAAAGCAGCTCCATTCTGGCTTAAAACTACCAATGAGTCCATTCAAGCACAACTATTGTCTGCATATTGATTGAGATGTGGAAGACACCCTGGCAGTCACATTCCATCACACCTACAGGGAGTTTCCTAGAGGGGGGAGGTCCAATCCTATCTACTCTCTCTTTCTCCAGCTATCTGTGAAAAGTCAACTAGATGGCTATTTCTTCACAATGCCTCTGCAGCCTTCTTATCGTAATAGCACACAATAGGCAAAATAATAAATAATTCCCACAAATAATTCAGACACTGTACTTCAACATCTTCCTTGGTCACATTAAATGCCAATTAATCTTACCATGCTGAACCAGTGGTCAATGTTTGGGCTAATTCTCCAAAACTGGATTAAGGAGAGAAATATATAAAACTCACGTTCAGGTAAGGACAGGTGACACTTTATTGCCATTCCTGTTGGAATCTTCATTTCTATCTGATGTGGGAGGAGGCAAACCTACCTCCATTTTAATTGTCCAGGAGTAGTGTGATTATCCTTCATGTAGATTAGCTATATTCTTAAATGTGTGTGTGTGTGTGTGTGTGTATGTGTGTATGTGTGTGTGTGTGTGTAGGAGGTCATCTACTCACCTTTCTACCATCAATTTACCAGCCACTTACAGTTAAATGTATTAGAAATGGCCATCACGAATGCTAACTTCTTCACCCACAAACTCAAGTTACTACACATAGGCTAAAGATAAGACTGCAATATTATACCTATAGATTGAGAAAATCCATTTGCACAGACACACACACCTCAATTCTCTTCATTAACTAAGTGCTAAAACGTATGATGGCACAGACCTCTTTTGGAAGAAAATGATATATGAATTGTGGAAATAAAATAATGCAATTTCCGACATGTGAGAGCTCTAATTTACAGTCATTTCCATCACCAAGGAAACCGTTCTATCCCCATGCCCCCCAGCTCATCTTCCAGAATGGCTGTCTCATTATGCTGTGAACAAGAGGATGCACAGGGATTTTAACAATGATAATATTACAGATAATTGGTAACTCTTTACGCATAACCATCCCGGAGTGGATTGTTTAATTCCCTTCCTTTTCAATGAGTGGGAACAAATTCCCTAACACACCACAAGCTCTTCAAGTTCTTCTTTCAATGATGTCTATAATAAAGAGTGTCATGATGTCTCTTTGACCCTGGCAAGAACATGAGAACACCTGCCACATTAAAAGCCTACTAAAACCTGCATGTTTTTTAATCCCCTTATTGTCAACAGTCTTTTGATGATTTTCTTTTTTATTTACATAATTCTTATCCTATTGCAATGCATGCATAAAAATGAGCCCTAAAATTTAAAGAAGCTTGTTTGAAAATGTGAGAAGGTTATTCAACTATTATCCATAATAAAAAAAATGCTTTTGATTTCTTCTTTAGGAAAAAAAAACCCTTTTCTTAAGTCCTGGTCAGAATCCACTTCAATCCACTGATTCAATCTCAATCCCCTTGAGACCAATCCCCTTTAGTTCAAAAAAGACTGTGATGTATTGCAGCAAGTTGTTATAATTTTGTTGCAATAATTAAGAGAGCTTGAAGCAGCAACAAATCACAATCTAGCAAAAAAGGTGTCTCTCCTCCAAACATTGTATGAAATAGAGACCTATGTCAGCCATCCTAAATAATATAAAAAATAGGTTTATTTATATTGTTTACCATATAGCATACCACACTTATCACCAACCTTGGCTTTCCTGTGTCATTCATCATATCCTATTAATAAAACACAGCATTGCATGTTAATTTCCAATGAAAGGATTATCATGGATGGTAAACTTAAAAAAAGTTAGTATTTCTCCTCCCAATCAGCACAGTTTTATTTTTATTAGCAATGGATTGTCCACAATCTTTTCCATTCTGAATTTATTCAGTTTGTCAAATTGAATTAGTAGACTACTGCTCAAAAATCCCAATCTTCTCAGACCTATGGGTGGTGTCTTCTTCAATCTTAGGTCCTCTACAAGAGACCTGGGAATTTGAGGGTTCTGCACAGGATTTTAGCTGTTCCTAGCACTGCATTGTTCTGGACAGAGAGTTCTGATGTTTTTCCATCAGAAGTGCTAAGCTGGGACTGTGTTAGCTATTACTTTCCATATCTTCTGTAGTTCCTCATTCATGATCTGGTGCTTCTCCAGCTTCTCATACTTCTAATATGTATGTATCATTTATCTATCCACAAATACACAGATACTATTACCATTTTTCCCTACTACAGATAATTTGTAGAATGGCTTGATTTCTGACATAATTAGATTGATTCTGTTTGTTAAATTAGCAATAGATAGAAATAAAGTACAACAAGATATTATTTCATTGGGTAGAGAAGTTAGTCAACATTCTATAGCATCTTTTTTATTTTTCTTCATTCATTTTTGGATATATAGTATATTGCACATTTTCTCATTAGGTGGATAGATAAAACATTTTAATACAATGTTTGTTTTATTTTAGCCAATTTGGTCTGGTGGTTAAGGCACTGTGAGACTGTGAGTTCAAATCTTGTCTTAGGGGGCTAGTCTTTGGGCCACTTGCTCTCTCTCAGCCCAACCCATCTCACAGGATTGTTGTTGTTGGAAAATAGAAGAAGATCTATCCATCCATCCATCATTGATCTGAGGAGAATTGTGGCTTGTGGGCATCTCTTTAGAAATAGGTCTCTTCATTTTGAATACATAGCTTAGACATAAATTTATTTACGAACACATAGCAAAGGAATTTATATAAATCTAAAAGTATTTGACTGTTCACAATGAAAGCTTGAGAAAATTAGTGAAGGGTACAAGTGTGATAACCAGGGCTAAATGTGATATATATCATTAAGAGATTTTGAGCGGGGGGAAATTGAAGTGAAAGAAATGAAAAGAATTGTAGATAGAGAAAAGATGGCTGATGCATTTTTTAAAGGATTAGAGTAGATGATAGATTGTCCCAAAAGAATGCATGGAAATCATATGTTGAGGAAAGGATGTGTAAACTTCTTGGAATAGAGTTTTAAAAAGTTATATTGCTGTGTGGTGTAATCATATATGGAGTTACAGTAATGGAAAGAATGAAAAAGAATGATTGACAGGACAAATGTGGAAACATGGTTGAGGAAAACTGCATTTAAGAGAATGATGAATGCTGAAAAAAATAAGGTTGAAAGAAAGTTAATGCATAATGTATACACAAGGAAAAAAGTTAAGTGTAAAGAATATCACCAGAAAGAGCAAGGGATGCTAAAGGTTAAAAGAGAGAGAAAATGAGAGCAATTTTGATGAAATAAAAATTGCTTTGGGAAGTGGATTAAGAAGCTAAACAATTAGATCCCTGCAGAGTTAACTGCATTTTTTTTAAGTTATATTATTTGAAAGTAAAGTGAGGAAATGCTGGAGGAGGACTTTAGAGGTTGTAAGGGGTTCATAAGAAAATAAAAGTGAGAGATCCCCTTTGGTGTAATGGTTAAAAAATCAGACTAGCAATTAGGACAATGTTCTAATCCCACTTTACCCACTAAACTGGCCATGTAACCATGAGCCAGTCCATCTCTCTCAGCCCCAGGACGGAAGCAATGGCAAACTATATCCAAAACCTTGCCAAGGACATCTCCCGGTAGTCCATAGGAGTCAAAAACTGATTAAAAGGCACAGGCTTATGCACATACACACATAAACAGACACACACAGAGATATACACACAGATCAGAATGGGGCAGAACAATAAAACTGTAGGTTCAAAAAATGTAAATATCCTTTGTATATAGAGTGAGTTTTCATGTTTAAACAATGGATCTTTGCCTCAGGCATTGGAAGAATAGTGTTACTGTTCCTCTATACAGGTGTAAAAGACAGAAGAATGAAAAGTAAAACTACAAGAGGACTAGTTTGTTAGATGTACTTAGGAAAGGTATTGGGCAGAATTCTAACTGAAAGAGTATAACTACTGAAAATAAACCAAATTTGAGAAATGATGAGTTTATCCCAGGCAGGGGACATGGAGACATTTCTGCTCTTCAGAAATGTATGAAAACATATTGTATGTTGTTAACTTAGAGAAAGAATATAACACACGTAATCCTCATACAATAATTCATTTAAGCAATCATTCAAAGTTGCATTGGCACTGGAAAAAACCTGACTTACAGCCAGTCCTTGCACTTATGGCCATCACAACATTCTCCATGGTCACATAGTTATAATTTTATGTATTTATGACAGTTGCAGTGTCCGGGGTCATGTGATCAACCATTTGCCATGTTCCCAGCCATAGCCCGACAAGTAAAGTATAAGGGGAAAGCTAGATTCACTTAACAACCACATGGTCCACTTAACAATTTTTGCAAAAAAGGTCATAAAATTGGGCATGACTCATTTAATAACTGCCTTGCTTAACAGCAGAAATTCTAGATCCAATTGTGGATCTAAGTTGAAGATTACCTGTAATGTAAATAGGTTTGAGTTACGGCATGTTTTGCATATGTTGAAGGCTGCTTGCTGGATGTTATAAGTGTGGCATATGGTGGAGGTAAAAAATGTACAAGAATAACTGGAATATTCAGGAAATGGTTTAAAAGAGAAGGCTGTCAACACTACAAATGAGTATGGCTGCAGTCTTTTTTTCCTACTCATTTTTGGTTGCCACATAGAGCAGAGAGAGGGGGGTTGCCCAGGTGCTCAGTTAGTCTAAATAAACTTTTATCCTATGGGAACCAAGGCTGCTCCTGAGACTACAGGCTGGGCGTTGCGGGAAAAGCCCGCCAAGAAGATGTATTGGGGAACGTAGTTGCTTGTATAGCCTTAGGGATTGGATTTTTTAACTTTGTATTGGGGAATTGTTATGTGTGTCTCCAGATTTGGTTTCACTTTTGATGTGCTGATACTTTGTAACTAATAAACATATTTTTTGAGGAATTTGCAAGCCTCAGAGTTCTGCTTTATTCATCTCTGTCTGTCGGAACCATGATATTAAACCAAGTCTGGAGACACATGTAAGAATTCCCCAGTACAAAGTTAAAAAATCCCTCCCCTAAAACTATGCAAGCAACTACATTCCCCAATACATCTTCCTGACGGGCTTTTTACAGAACACCCAACCTGCAGTCTTGGGAGCAGCCAATGACCTTGGATCCCATGGGACAAAATATTATTTAGACTAGTGAATCACCTGGGCAACCCCTCCCTCTGCTCTATGTAGCAACCAAAAATGAGTAGGAAAAATGGCTGCAGCCATGCTCATTTGTAGAGTCGTCAGTTGGCTCCCCACCTGGGATTCGAACCCTGGCCTCCCGTGTGACAGGTGGGGATTACTTACCACTATACCACCAACGCATATGGATAATTATATCAATAATGCTTGCAATCACATTAGATATGAGCAAAGAAGAAAATACAGTCTGGTTTGGAAAAGTGGACTTGGCCATTCTGGTAGGAACACTGTTACAGATGTGACTATAGGTGCAAGTTTGTATTCAAATGATGTTACACTGTTGCCTGAGAACCTGAATGACCTACATTAGATTGTACGATTCGAAGAAGAATATTGATCTGAAAATTAAGGTATCAAAGGCCAAGGTACTTGTGTTTGACAAGCAAAATGGGATGAATGATTGCAAGTTACATAAAATTTAACAAAAAAACTAGAGAGAACCTATCCATTTATGTACTTTAGATGATAGATTGTTTATAGGAAAAAAATGGCAAAAGGGCTCAAGAAATTTTAAAGCAGTGTAAATATTGGCAATATGCAATCTTTTGTGAAGAATCAATACTTGTTAGAAGAAGCTCCAACAAGCAGTATGTAAGGGGATGCTTCTGACCACTTCACTATATGAGAGTGGGGTATGTCAGGAGAAACATTAAATGAAGTTGAATAAAATAGGCATCAAAGCATCAGGGTAGATGCTGCATGAATGATGTCTGAACAGCAAATGTGAACAAGCAGTATAAAAACAGTAAATTGAAGTGATTTGATCATCTAGGATGATTGAAGACGGAATTGCAAAACAAATATATGACCTAATAGCGATTGGGTCAAGAAGAAGGGACAGAAAAATAAACTGATGTTTGGAGAGAGTTGTTGAAATGTTGAAAACCTGAAAAAGGCAGAGTTGAAAATTCTACAGAATAAAAGGGATTGCATGGATTGATGTATGGGGCTGATAGAAGAAAGAAAAGATTTCAAGGTTAAATCTGTACTGCATAGGGATTGGATTGGCTGTACATTATTTCAACTCTGTTTCCTTTTCTTATCTGATGTCTTTAATATCTCTAGCTTACCATTGCTTACTTTTTTTTCCTGGCTTCTGAATAATGTTGCTTTTCTGACAGGAAAGAGCTGAGGAATATTTATGTAGGTAAAAGTGTGCAGTTTTGATGTGTGTGTGTATTGTATGTATGCATACAAAGTATGAAGCCAACATTGCCCAAGTATTAAGCAATAATATTTATATAGCACCATTACTGTCTTTTTAAATAACATTTTAGCAGAATGACATTGTAAAGTGGTTCCACTTAGCTTCCCACTGCAAAACAAATTATTTTTAAAAATTAAGACAAATAACTAAATGTATCCACTGTGTTTTGCATCCTGTTTATCTTCCTACATAAAAAGCTTCCTTAGGTGCTATTTAAAAATGTCTCTTACGGGAATAAGGAGGATAGCCTTTAAGATTTATTCAAGTACTGGCATATTCTCTTTACAGGAAAGAAGCAAGCATCTGGCTTTGTCTAGTCTGGCAAGCAAAGCAGAGTCAGGACTGAATAGAACTTTGATAGGATGATTTCCAGATAATATCACAGCAATAAACAAGACTGGGAAGTTGAGCAATATCACAGAAAAAAGCAGTGACAAATACTTCCATGTCATCATAAAAAAAAAGAAAAAAGAACAAACCCTACATGAAATCAGCCAGGACATCAGGAACTGAAATTCAAAGAATACTTTAGTCTTTAACACAATCTAAGAAAAGCAACCTAAGAAGTATAACCACTTTAGGGTGTTTTATAAGAAGAGTCAGACCACTGCCAATTAAAACATTTAACCTAAACTAGGTAAGTTATTTACGAACAGCCAAGAGTCTTAAATCCTATGTAATTTTGGATAAACTAAAAATTGCCAAGCCATTTTTGAAAAATTGATTTAGAAAATAATGTCCAGTGACTTTATATTCCCCTCCCTCAAAATATATAAAAAATATATAAAAAATAAAGGAAAAAAAAAACCCCAATCTTGATCTAAATGAATTACTGTTGGGACCCTGTAAATACCCTACGTTAATTATTTTGCCTTAAATGTATGGTACAATTTATCTTTAATTAATCTTAGCATAATCACAGCCATCCTCAATGGGGCATCTGTCACATGTTCATAAATCCAATGACTCACTAGTGCAGTGGTGGCGAACCTATGGCACGGGTGCCAGAGGCGGCACTCAGAGCCCTCTCTGTGGGTACGCGTGCCGTTGCCCCAGTCCTAGGCTTCAGCTGGGTTTTATAAAACCTTTTTGCTTTAGGCCTCTGCCGCTGTGCGCAAAAAAAAAAAAGGTTCAATCAATCAGTCAATTTCAACTTCTTGCGGTGGAAAAAAAAGATCTTGCAAAGTTGAAATTGATTGATTAAACTTTTTAGTCCCACTCAGTCTGCCATTACCACCATAGTCACGCCCACCCAATAGGCCACACCCACCCGGCACCCGACGATGCATAAGTGGGTTTTGGGTTGCAGTTTGGGCACTAGGTCTCTAAAAGGTTCGCCATCACTGCACTAGTGGAATGGAAACAAAGGCATTGGAAAAAACGTTAGTATTCAAATCAGAATTTTTATAAGGAAGTTACATGATATACTAAAATATATCCAATTTTGTTTTTTTTTTTGTTTTTTAAAAAGCATGTATTTCCTTACCTAAGCATCTTGTTTCAGTTCCACTCCATAGTCCAGAAGAGAGACATTCTCTTACCGCTGAGCCCACCAGCATGAATCCTAGGTCACAAGTAAAGATAGCAGTCGAGCCATATGTAATCTGAGTTCCAATTTTATTCCCATTTGGAGGTGTAGGAAGTTCTCCACAGGAAATAACTTTGAAAAGAAGAAATATACATATTTGCAATATATATTGCACTCATACTAACAACAAAATAAATTAAAAATAAATGTTAAAGAAGCGGCAATGGCAATAAAAATGCTAAAACTTTTAGGTATTGGCTAGGATAATACATACTTGAAAAAAATCTATAATCTGAAGTATATTTTAAACTGTGTGCTGGTAAAGTGACAGAAATGTGATTAAAACAATATTGTGCAATGGAATAAAATTGCTTCTGTGACTATTGATATGTCCAAGGCTGATTTTGAAAACTGCAGATAGAATAAAACTGGTGAATGTACTTTATTTTAAAGCTATCAGCATTAAATGATTATGTGGGCTGTATGGTGGCTTCAAAGATATTCTTGTGTAGTTAAAGTTTCACTGATAGAGTCCATGGCATTTTTCCCAGCAGGCTGAGGATAATAGGCTTATTATCCTCCTATGAAAAAACTACCATATTGAAAAAGGATTGTAATTTTCAGTTTGTTGGTCTTCACGATTAACACAAGATGTTGAAAATAAATGACTACCTAATATAAGGACCAATAAGGACCTGGAGCTAGTTGAATCTGAATGATACCGCTAGATGAGAATATTTGTAGCTCAGGGTTGATCTGTGGAGTCCTTGGTACTCTCTGAGCTTGTTTTCTTGCAGACATTTCACTACCAAACTAGGTAACATTATCAGTGCTAGAAAGGAATGGGGTTTGCTTTCTATTGATACAATAGCAGTCAGTGTTGGTGGGAGTGTTCTTGGTGGTTCCTTGATTGGGTTGTTGTTTACTGTTTACTTGTTTGTCTGAGTTGGTAGTTCCTTGCATTGTTTACAGGTAGTTCTCGACTTATGACTACAATTGAGCCCCAAATTTCCAATGCTAAGTGAATTTTGCTCTACTGTACGATCTTTCTTGCCACAGTTGTTAAGTGAGTCACTGCAGCTGTTAAGTTAGTAACATATTTATTGTGAATCTAGCTTCTTTATTGACTTTGCTTATCAGAAGGTCACAAAAGGGATCACATGACCCTGGGACACTGCAACTATCATAAATATGAGTCAGTTGCCAAGGTCTCTGAATTTTGATCAACTGACCATGGGATGCTGCAATAGTCATAAGTGTGAAAAACGATCATAAGTCACTTTTTAGGTGCTGTGTAATTTTGAAGTGTCACTAAATGAACTGTTGTAAGTCGAGGACTACCTATACTTCTTAGTGTTAATCTCTGCCTATCTGGGTGCTGATTGCTGGTGAGGATGTGTTTTGGATTTAAATATGAATAACTAATACTAGAATACTTACTTTGGCAGTATGGTCTCTCGTTTCTCCAGCTCCAAGTTCCATTAGCAAGACATTCAATGGATTCTGGTCCCAATCCATGGTATCCAGGATCACAGCTAAAAACTACTTTTGTTTTGTACTCGTAGTGAGACCCATTCACTATTCGCCACCTTCCATGTTCCAGGGTAAATGAATTAATGCTTGGACAGGTAACAACTTGAAATGGAAAGAGAGAGAGAAAGAAAAAGAATATATTTTGACAGCTTCAAAGGGTCAATCCTTGATATCAGTTTATGTATTAGGACATGAAACTATCTTAATTTGTAAATTAAACAATTGTATAATAATCTGCAGTTTGTAGGTAATTCTGGTTTTATTTCCGTTTAACATTTTATACTTCCTTCTTTGGCTACAGAGAATGGTTATTTTATTGCTCAAAATAATTAATTAATGGACCACATACTAGAATTTAAAGGGGTGGATTATTTGATCAGTAATATAATCCTTATATAAACATTTCTGGAATACAGGTGATTATCCTACATCTTGAAGCATGATATTCATATTCATTTTTTTTTAAATGAGAATATCTGATTTCACTTTTGACTAGTAAATTATTAATATCAGCAGAATCACATCATTAGTATCTAACCATAATTACTCTTTGTATCAGAAAATGAATATATGTCATAACTAATAAGAGAGCTTTTTGTCCCCTAACATTTTCCTTGGCTATAGGGTGGAAAATCAGGTTGCACAAACAAGTGACAAAACTTTGCAATTGTAATTACACCTTATTTCTACGATGCTTATATCTAGCTGGATTGTACTCAATACTGAAACTAATGAGAGTACTTCGACATTTAAATAACGATTCATTTAGAGCTTTGAAAGAAGGGCCACCTCTTATAATTCACACAACATATCTTTTCTAGGTTAAAGGCTTTTTCCTCACCATGTGTTATTGGCTTAATTAGAGTGATGTTCCACACGTGGAGATCTTCACAGTTTCTGATGCATTCTTATGAAGCAAGTTCTACCTTAGATGGCTTAAATCAGACATGTCAAACTTGTGACGTCACATGACGTCGCACAACGTATCGGAACATTTTCCCCATTGCCGGCAATGGGGTGGGCACGGTTTCCTCATGATGCATCCGGCCCGCAGGCCGGCAGTTTGACATCCCTGGCTTAAATAAACCTCAGAGGTCTTTCTCTTCTCTCTGTGTTACTCACTTGATTTTAATTTCCCAATTAGCTATTTTGCTTTATCTATTTTCTATTCTTCCCTGTCACTATGTCACATGGTGGCATCCAGCTATACAAACAAAGAATGAATGGATGATGTATATGTGTGTATATGTACATTTATCTATGTGTCTGTGCATAGCAAAACCTTCTACATGCTAACAACTTAGTGAATTTTGTCTGTTCCTTTATGAAATAAGCAACATTCTCTTCTTCTGAAAATACAAATGGAACATTCTTTCAATCATCATTATCATCCTAATTACCATATGCATAACTTTCAGCAATAATTAAGTTCTATTTTGTTCATTAAAAGAAAATGGAGCAAGTTTTGACTTGTCTTATTAAAGTTTGGGGCATAATACATGCATTTTGTATTCAAAGGAGGATTCTATCTCTTCTGTGCTTTTGATAACTATATAGTATCTCCCTCCAGCATTGTTTATTTATTTCCAATCTAATCATGAAGATTTTGAATTTATAAATTCATTACATGAATCAATAGATTCATTAAACAAGAGTTCTCTTGTTTAGTAGATTACAAAAAAAAAACCCAATCAAACATAAAAACCAATAACTTTTGATAACAATTAGCCAGGAAAAGAACAACGGAAGAATGTAAAATATATAAGATTCGTAAGTCCCAAACATTCCCAGCACTAAAAAATTTACAACCAGTTAAACTCTATAATTTTAGCTGCCTTGAAAAAGAAAAAAGACAATCAGTAGAAAGACTATCTGGTAGATAGCCAAGCAATTTTCCCAAGCACAGTATTAAAATAAGAAGGTCCTCAATTATCTGTCCCATCATTTAACTTCATTGGTGTTGTGGGAAGAATCCAGAGAAAGAAATATTTTGGGGAATATTAAAAAGGCAGAATATATTTTCCCAAAGGAATAATGGAGAAGATCTTTAAAAAAGACAGAAATCAGCCCAGAAATCAGCCCCAGCCCCTCTCCCCCAAGCAGAATCTAGGTAGAAGCCAGCTTTTAGAAATGCAGATGTGATAATCCTTTCAGAAAGGTTGGAGCCAGGAAGCTAGAAGCTGATGAGATTAGAAAGACAAAGACCCTTAAATCTACATCCCCCATCCAAACTCTAAGTGCAGGAAACATAATAGGATTAACCCACCAATACCAAAAAGGACACACTGAACCTCAGGTCAAAGTTCATGCCACAGGAACAGGAACTCCAAACACAAAAGCCCAAGAAGGTATAAAAACCCACCACTCTCAGCAACATGTGATCAGCTTTCCCAGAGCCATGCTTCTGTCTGGCTTTGCTCTTCAATAAACTACAACCTTCTTTCTAAAACAGTCTCCATTTTGTTTATTCCTGGCTTCGACTGAACCCTGATGAAGATTTTTCATTCAACAGTGTTAATCAGTGGTGGGATTCAAATATGTGAACAACCAGTTAGTTCTCTTTGTAGATGCTGCTTCCGGAAATCCATTCTGGGTTTGGGCAACAAAAAATTAGCTACCAGTTCTGCTGAAGTGGTGTGAAATGGCTGAATCTTACCACTGGTGTTAATGAAGAATTCTCAAAGATGTCCAAAGAGATTGGACAGAAATATATAGAGAGGAGATATTCTTTTACCTATATGGTCCTAAACTGCTCAGGAAAATAAGCCTTACTTTATTTTGTGAGGTTTCTAGAACTGAAATTACACACGTTCTTTGAATAAGTTTATATGAATTAAAGTTGGTGTAAGGTGAGACTACACAGACTACAATAAGTCTGAGTGCATCTCTTCTGACTAACAGTTTTTTTTTAAAAAAAGGCATAAGATTTTATGAGATGCAGCTGCATAGAATTGTTAGCTGGAAAAGATTCTACCAGATTTGTGATTTCTGTCTTACAGAGAATGTTTGGAAAAAATCTCCTAAGAAAATTTTTGGATTTTTTTTAAGTCCCAAATGTTATCTGCTACACATAGTTCTAATACCACTGTAACTTCAAAAGGCCGCTAAACAGGACATTAAGTGAGCATTAAGTGAGGACAACCTGTAATGATGTATGTTCCACTTTCATTAAGGTCTTTCTTGAAAACAGATAATCCTTGACCATAATTGGAACTAGAATTTCCATTGCTAAGCAAGGCAGTGATTAAGTGAGTTGCATCCAATTTTATGACACTTTTTGCCATAATTTTTAAGCAAATCACTGCAGTTGTTAAGTGAATCAGGTGGTCATTAAGCAAATCCAGCTTGCCTTTGCTTTTCAGAAGCCCTCTAGGAAAATTGCAATTGATGATCAGATGAGGCCAGGATGCTACAAGTATCAGGGCCTGAATTTTGACCACATGATTGTGAGGATGCTGCAACAGTAGTAAATACGAGGACTGCTGATAGCTTGCTTTTCACAGTGCTGTTGTAGCTTAGAACAGTTACTAAATGAATAGTTATAAGTTGAGGACTATTTGTACATACATTCACCTAGGTCTTTGGGATGCTTCACTCATTACTTACAATCCTTTTAAATCAATAATTATTGGGAAAGTGAAACACTAATAATAATCTTTAAATGTTTAACAACAAAGCAAACAGATCTTTTCTAGGTTATGCTTACCTACACAGCGAGGTGTTTTATTATGGTTGCTCCATGTGCCATCTGGCTGGCAGGATGCAGTGGTCAGTTCCTTGGATGAAAGACGGTACCCATCATTGCAAAAGTAAGTAACGTATGTGCCTACTAAGTAATCCGTAGTTAATATCCCACCGTTTAATGGAGCTTTTGGAATTCCACAGGAGATAGCTGAAACATTAACACAGGCAGGCAAAACGTCATTTGACTACACTGGCAAATTCGATTTTTATGTATATTATCTCCAATCTTCAGAAATAGAACTGTAATTCAGATATGAAATGTGGCAGGATTGCAGCATAAAAAAATAACGCATCATTCATTTAGACTTTTTGTTTTGTTTTGTTTTCAGCACCACCTGTCCTTGCAAATGAGTTTCTGTTTTTCTTGCATTCCAGAGGAGCAAGAGACAGCAAAATTTAGATCAGCGGTTCTCAACCTATGGGTCGCAACCCCATTTGGGGTTGATCGACCATTTCACGGGGGTCGCCAAGCAAGGCTGTCCGCCATTTTTTCCCCTTTTCCGGCGGGTGCCTTACCTCCCTTGGGCTGGGCCAGCTGGTGGTCGGCCTGCTCCGTCTCTGCCGCTTGCCAGCTACGCCTCGGCCTGCGCAGGGGGCGGAACCACGCATGCGCGGCGCTCCCGGGCAGGGAAAGTCCTCGACTTACGACCGGTTTAGTCCTCGACTTACGACCGGTTGGGGGTCATGGCATTAAAAAGGTTGAGAACCACTGATTTAGATAGTTTTGTTGGGAGGAAGAGGGTCAAGACGTGTCCTCCCTAAAGATTTCTCAAAGTATATTTTTAATTATGCAAGTAATCTGCTTTAGTTTGGCAAGATTTCTGTCTATACACGAGGGACAGTAAAGGAAACTGCTTAGAAGAAACTCAGCATGTCTTTCTTAGTTTTTGGTGCCTGACATCATCAAACTTGGTGAAATATTCATTGTCCCTTTGCACTGTTTGAAGTAAAAAAACCTCCCAATGAATACAACAGGCTTAAGTTCCTACTTCATAGGATTCAGATGCTTTCATGTCTTTCTGACTCTATTACATTTTTTTCTTCAGAACTCTTACATTTCAGATTGAAAATTTTCTCTTACTAAACAATATATTAAATATTATTTATTTAGTCATCAAAAGGTTGATTTCTTCTAAATATGACTGGGAATATAACTGCTTTGGGCTTTTGAGCAGAATGGGACCTACTGAAAGAAGAGAACCACCTCAGGGCCAACACAATCTTCCAGAAGTTGAAAACTCAAGAAAATGCAAAGGCATCACGATTGGAAAGAATGATTTTTTTTTTCTGAACAAGAAAAGTGAAACAGGATCTATATTGATGTTTTAGAAGAACTCTCGTTTCACTCCTGTAAAGGCTTCAGGTGATATGTTCAACTGCTTGTTGTTTTTATTACAAAGAACTATTTTCAAAAGGATATGCTGCTGCAGTTTTTACTAATTTAGCAACATAGCATCACTGCTGGTCTCTGGGCAATCATTTGGTGAACAACACACTTTTTGCATACTTTCTTTTGCAAATTGTTTGCTCTATTTTCTTACTGGGTTAGAACTAGCGAAATATTTCTTGATACCATTTCATTCAAGTATTTTCTCTTAAAGGTTTTCACCATTCTGTCATTTCACTCAAAAATATGATGCCCGGAACAATACAAATTGAAGACCAAGGTAAGCATATTCACATTCACTTCCCCATCTCTTTTATAGCTTTGAATTTTATACCGGCCAATCAGCATTTATAGAATAATTTATAACACTGAAAAGAAACAAAAGAGATTATTTGTTTAAGTTTTGAAATGATTCTTCCTTGTTGCTGATGCTTGCTTATTTAATAAACATGTTTTAAAAATTTAATACATTCTGTAAGGGGGGATGTAATAGATACATACATGTGGAGTATATATATATATATATATATATATATATACAAACCAACATAACACCTCGAGGTGCCGGCCTACGGACAGGCAAAGATAGATTTAAAGACCAAACGGACAAGAACTGTAGGAGCACTCTTTCCCCTGAGTCAGAAGGGACTGGATTCTGCAACAACTCACCAGGAACCTACCTACAAGCCAACATGGCTCGCGGCTCACGGACAAACAAAGGTGGATTCAGTGACCA